TTTATCCTCTCATCTCCCCGTTCCCTCCTCAACCGTCCCTCCCTGTGTATCACTCTCTCCTATGTCTAATTGCATTTCAATTCGCCCTAAGGGATGCCTGGGTAGTTCAATCCTCTCCCCCGGTTTCCCTCAAATCCATTTGCACCCTGCCCTGGCCAGGTCAGTTTCATGGGTTGCCCTGCAGGAAATATCAGATGACCTTACTTTCCAGTGACAACAAGGTATCATGGGGAATAGAATCAGTTGAGAGGCTCTTCCTGCCCCCCATTCCCTCATATCCATCTTCCCCTCCTGCACAGACTTCCTACTGTCAAGTAGAACAAGGTCAGAATCATGTACTGTGTGATACCAAGTGCCAAAAGTTTGAGGATACATAGTGCTGGGTAGTAACTGATTACATGTAATCTGCTCACAAAATTTTGAACATATAATTCGATTATTTTACATTTTTTAAAGTTACTTTATGGACGACATGATTACATATTATTCACACAATGGCAGTAGTTTTATATTTTATTGATAAACGCTAATTCTTCTTTTTACTCTTTTAAATGTTCCTTTCTAAAAATTTAAATAAACCATTGTGTGTTACATCGTTTAGTTTTGACTATATTCACAATATAGGACGGCCATGTAATTTTCATGTAAATAAATTTGTGATGCTTCTAAATTTGGGGACAAAAGCACTTCTTATTTGCACCATGTATGAGAGGAGTAATTTTGCAAGTTACTAAACACTGTTAATACAGGATATAGCTAAGAAAAACTTCACTAATTATTGATCAAAAATATATTTAAAAACTGGAAAACGTTGAATGTGTAATGCCATTGCTGTTTTCATGTTTATTATTGTTTGTTCACGTAATGCAGGGATTCACAAACTTTCACAAACCCCTTTTGGCCTAAAATATTTACTTGGAGACCCCTGAGATTTTCAAGTTAATTTTTCAGTATTTTTACAACACATTTGCATGTTCACAGTTCTCTGAAGTCTGTTAATTGTCACATTGACATAGATAAATAAAACATTATAATTTTTTTGTTTAATTGTTTAATTTTGATTATATAAATACATGTATATATATATATATATATATATATATATAAACTCCATTCAATTAGATTTTCTTACTATTTTGATTGTCCCTTTTGTGCTTTTACAACAGCAGCACTTCAGTGTGAACTCCACAAGTTTGTTTAACATAATTATCATTTTATCCAGCATTTCATTTCATTCTGAATCCAAGGTTTTCAATGGTCTCAGAAGTTTTGACCCTACCGTACGTTATTCTTCACTTTATTCACAATTCAATCTAATAAATGCTTCATCATTTCATACAGGTCTATATAAAGTAAGCAAATATCCTGAGTGCTCACATCTGTCTCTCAAGAACATTTATCTTATACTTTAAAGACCCTCTGTAACCCATTTACTTACTCCACTATATCTGGGACTTATTTGTGTTTTTTTAACAGAGTAGAATATGGCAGAAAGCTTGAAAGTGTGTTTTAGTAGGAGTCTTTTCAGAGAAGTACAATGAAGTCTGGAAGTGCTTGTGGAAAAAAGTGTGGGTTGAAAGAATGAGGTTGACATATGCACAACCCATGAAAACTCACGCTGTGAATGATGAATCCATTTGATCAAGTCACATTCTTGTTTCAAACTCAGAGAGACCTTTAATTTAAACAGCCTCATAGTGTCATGTTAGACTTAATGGAATATTAGTATTCAAACGGAGGAGTTCGTTCCCCTGAGTGTCTATGAGCTTTTTTGTCTCAAATGCTCAATGGCTCATGGGAACATGGAGATGTGTTATGGATGGTATTTAGAGACAAGTGTCTCATGGGTGCTGGAATAATGCCAGAGAGATGCCTATCTCTGCTTTTAATGGAATGTCTATCATTGTTTTAAGTGATCAGCCCTGTAAATTCTGACTGTAAATTTTGATCTTATCCACATCAATCCAAGCGTCAAAAGGTAGAGACGACAAACGCGCACGTCGTGGGTCAGCCAGGGACACAGATACTACTGCTGCAACAAACATCAAATGTCTGCCAATACAAGCAGCATCTTGTGCGCAAGAGAAATGTGATGGGAATTGCATTTATCAGAGCTGCTTCTCTGTCTCCTCGTGATTTAAAAAGGAGGGAATGATGTAGTTATTGTGTCAATTTTGAGCACCAGAAACAAAGGAAGGGAAATATGCATGTCATATTTTATTTTCAATTGCCAGACGTCTTCTTATGTTCACAGAAGACCCTCTTGCTTTAGCTGTCGGCAGTGACAGTTTGATTGAAAATTGAGGCCGTTGTTGTCCGGTATCCTATCAGGAAGGCGTTTTCAAAATTGAATCAGAGATGTGTCTCAGAGGCTCTCGTTTACACGTTGCCTTCAGATGGAGACAGAAACAGGAGAGGAGATGGGGAAAAAAGGTGGCTGTGTTTCGTGTGAGCTATTCTCCTTGTAGAGGTGACACCATTTAGCATATTAAGAGCATTTTAAACTGGTACGGGTAGACACGGTTCTCCGTAATCAGCTTTTCTGATGTAAGCTCCTGATACATGGATTTTACAGACTCTCCAATGTCAAGGTCCTCTTCTCTGGGCACATGTTCAGCCAGCTCTGTGGCACATTGCTCTTGGTTTCTAAATGTTGTTTTCTGGTGTGCTACATGGTTGAATAATGTGCGACCTCTATAGAATTTGAATTACAATCAGCACATCTATTCAAAATATAAGTAAAATTTGAAAGTGGTACAAAAGTTTTTTAAAACCATATTGAAATCAACAGGAAAACAAACAGAACATTTTTAAAGATCTTTTCTTCTCTTTATCGTGGACACTCTTATATGTCATTGAACCAATATTTATAGAGAACTTGTTGGGCTGGCCATGAGGTCAGTAGTTGATTGACAGCTGCTGGACAGACTTTGATGCACTATCTTGACAACTGAACCAAATCAACTCAGATGAGAACTATCTGCTAATAAAACCGCACAAACTTTGTCTCTCGCAGCTGTTTAATGGCTCTTTGCTTGTTTTTGTTTGTTTTTTTTTGCCGTAAGGTTATTGCACCTTTATGGCTGATCGGGGGGTTGAAATAATCCTCGACATCTGTTCGGGGAGTGGTTGGGGGGATGCCGACGCTTGCCTTTTATTTACTGGACCGGGCCTCTCGGCTCATCCCCCCAGCTCTGAGGTCGGCATGTTGACTTTTAATGGGAAAACGATAAAAAGAATCTCAAATGGACCTCAAGGTCAATGAAGGAGTTTCGCCCCCAGCTATCTCTATGGCTTTTAAAACAAACATTACTCATGAGCACCACAGTAAATTAGCACCATGCACCAAAGTTGGACTTATTTTATTGAGGATTACGGTTTTAATTGAGTGTTTAATAAGATAAAGTTTTCTTTCCTTTCATGTAGTTACATAAGTGCAAGTATAGTTACTGCAAAAACAGCATACAAACTAAAAATGTGTAGCTCATCTGTAGCATTTTCGGTTTGTTAAGCCAGGCAAGAGTGTTTTTTTTTTTCTTTATGGAGTGGCTGTCGTACTCTTCTCCATGGTGATATTCCACAGCCTCTTCCTCTCGTCCTTCTCTCTTTCCCTCTGGCCCTGATGACAGGAGGGTAGAACGTTAATCAGAACGGCGCTATCTCTCAGACAGCCCCTGCAGGCTATCGCCAGCTCTAGCGGTCTCTTTGTGGGCAATGCCAGTCTTGGCACCCTGGTTTCTCGAGGGATGGCCATACTGCCAATTGTGACAGAATTACACTTTAGAGTTACTGACTATAAATATATATTACACTTCCTAAGGACATCTGAATACCATCGTTGAGTAGAATTTGGGCTATTATTGATAGACTTCCAGTGTTTAATTAGATTAGTAAATAAAACCTTGTCAACCTCAGATGCGAGAAGAATATTGAAATTGATTGTAGTGTGATGGATTTACATTATGTAGATTGCTTGATGTAATGTTCTAGAAAGTAAGCTTATTGTTTTAGATATTTTGTGAACCACTATTTAAGTGATTTCAATGAGATTAAAAACCATTTGAATTTGAAAACAGAACAAAAAAGTACAAATTAAATGATTTGTAATGAAATCAAAGTGAATGACTTTTATGCTGTTATGTTCTTGTGATAAGTCTATTGAATCTGCATGTAGAATTAAATTTAATGAGCCTGAAACTCATACTCAAGTAGAAGATAGCAAAGTTTTAATAAACTATTGCTCAGCACTTCTGCAGAAATGCTCTTGAAGTTTCTGTCAGCAATGTTGTGGCAAGTCTTTACAAATCTTTTCTTAAAGTTGTTCTGTTTCATCTTAATTTACCCAGAACAACATGTGAAGTTAAAAAAAATAATTGGACTCTTGTTGGATAACATAATTTGGGTCCCTCCGTTTTCTTTCACTCCGTGAAATGAATGGCTGGCTGTCACAGGTAATCATGAGGTTGCTTGTCAGTACTCGGTCTGCTTTCATTTCCCATGATTAGCTTTGTGAAGGAATGATGGGGTATGTTTCACTCATCCACTTGTCTCTTTTGTTGGGTGACAGTGATGACTGGGTTAACATCGGTACAAGAAATCACATCATCTGCTGTCATGCTTCTTTTGCATCCCAAGAAACGATTTCTTTTTTTTTTACAGCAATCAAAACAACCAACTGCAAAAGAGGAATTCATGTCATTCACATCTTCATATAGTAAAATTTGAGCTTCACACAAAGAGGGAGGAAATATGTGCGCAAAATGTGCTGAATGCAATTTTCAAGCGCTGTTCCCGAGCTTGCGGGAGTACTATACGATCTTAAACTGGTTTGTTTTGAACTCATATCCGTGATGACTATGTTTTTAGACAAATTTTTTGTCTTAATACCAGTTTAATTCTGTAAATGCACTTTAAAGTCCAATCATTTCACTGTGCACATGTTAAAAAGCTGTTGATATTCTGTAACGTCTACCTGTCTTTCTGCCTTCTCTGTTTGACAGGAAATTGCAGCATACTTGATTACATTTGAAAAGCATGAAGAATGGTTGACAACATCCCCTAAAACAAGGTAAGAGTGTTTATCAAATTACCATTAGAAAGCCCTTTCCCCCGAATTCCAGGTTTTATCACTGTAATGCTCAAATGAAGCCATAGCTGAAGATTCCCCAAACGACCCACTTGAGGATTGCCGCTTTCTTTAAAAGTTTGGTGTTTGGTATTGGTGGACATTGATGGCAGTTTCAAAAGGTTTACCTCTTTTAGGAGTTAGCCTTGCAGGTAATGGATTATTAATGTGGACTAATAACTGCAAATAGCCAATTAGCAGAGCTCTTAGCTTGATGCTCTATTCTAATTTCTTCTGTGGGTGCGATGGTAATGTGTTCATATCTAACAGCAAATTAAACGTCCTATAATAAATGGATGTGTGAGCTGAAGGTGTCTAACTGCGCAGAAGTGTACGGTAGGTGTTGACTGACATTGAAGAGGGAAAAGTGAGCATGTCATGTCTATTAGCGAGTGTATGCGTGCATGTACCTGAATCAATCTGTCATCTTGGTTAATGGCTGATGACTCACCCTGGGGTCTGAAGCACATCTGGTAAATCTACATGTTACCAGGCCCCACAAGAGTAGGATTTGTGTATTTTTAAATAGATTGTCTATACACTTGATTGGCTGTAAGCAAGGCCAGCAGTGGTGGATTTGAGGTGTAATGGAGTGCCACTTATCCAGTGTCAATGATGCTGCTTATGTGAATAGTTCAGAGTTAGCCAGGACGGAGGGTTGCCATGGTGAGTAGGATTTGGGAGATGAATTTGTACTGTCACTTTAATTTAGCAACTACTTCATAATTAAGCTTACTTACAGTAATTGAGTAAAACTCTTAAGGCGAGGCAGACACAGAACATGGCAAAAACATGCATGATTTTTTTGCCTAGTTTATTATTTTGGGCTAGTTTATTTCTTCAATATGTTTTCTTTCAAGCTGCTATAAAGAAAAAGTTGAAAATATACATTAAGATGTTTATTTTATTACATTTTGTTTACTTTAATTTCTCCCAAATTTACCAAGAAGTTATTGCATTCTAACGCGTCATGCCGTGCTCCATCTGTTTACTGAAGTCTGTCATGACCGGTATCGTTGTGAAGCTCTGAATCTCCTGAACAACGCTACAGTATGTAACCCATGATGGGCATTTCCTTTATATCAGTAACCAATCGTGAATGTCCAAAGGGTGATTTAGAGCTAATGACGAAATCTCATTGGCTCCTACTGGTTTCTTCTAAAGTGATTCACTCAGACGCATCACGTGGTGTACTCTGCCAATATTCATTCATTTGTAGTTACTGCAGTTGTAGGCCTTATATCCCTGCCATGTTTTTAAATAATCAGTTTTCATGAGCTTGAAATATCATTTATTATTATTAATAAGGACTGAGCACAGTACAAATATCTCAGCCTATGTAGCACCTATACCAAATTTTCCAGTTATACACTTAGCAGTATTCTGAAGATTGTTCTCAGAGGGATTTGTTAATAAATCATAAATCATAATAAATAATAATAAATCATTCCTGGTCTGATTTATGTGATATTTTAATTAAAAAATATGGCGGCAATCTTTTTTTAAGGCTATGAACAGTATATTTTGATTTCATAAAAAGCATATATCCTGAAATCCCTCTGAACTTTTTTTTTCTTGTCTGTAAACAAAATGAAAAAAATAATTTTGCACCTGGCTTTATAATATGTTCAGATCTATCTACCGAAAATATATGTAAAATTGCACATATTTAATTAGATAATGCCTAATTTGCCTAATTAAACATACAATTTAAAAAAAAAACTTTTAATACATTTTTTATATACTTATGCAAGTAATCAACTAAGGAAGTTTCATGGTGATGTCTATTATTTAAATTTTTTTACACTATTCCCCTGTAGTGTCTCGCCTTATAGTGAACAAATATGTGAACAAATGTGTTCAATTGTCATTTACTCTACAAAATAAATCAAATCTTTTTTCTTCTTCTTTTTTAATTTAATTTATTTATTTTTGATAATATTAATCAACCAGCTGTATCCATGACTGCAACATGTGTAATATGCAACATTTTGTCAGTCGCATTTATTTTTGTAGTGCTGGGCCATGTAGCCCTGCCCATAGTAAAATGTCATTGGTTGAAAATTATTTTCCACATAGATGGTACATATTACATATAGTTAGTTCACTTTCATTGAGAACAATGGAAATTATTGCACCTGGTTAGGACACAATGTAAGAGTTCCTTCTGTCCCAATGATTAAAACTCACTCCCCATATACAGTAGATATAACCAGTCTCTAAAAAGAGATAAGAGAAAGAAGGTTACTTGAAGGTGGGGGAGAGTTTAGGGGGGAAAAACGACATTTAATTTATCCTCCAATGCTCTTATGGTGTAATATTTTAAGAAGCTTATAGTGTGGGCACATTATGTATCTGTGTGTACATTCCAGGGTTTAAGTCCATTTGTTTCTTCAGTCTGTTTTTCCTAGCCTCAGGTTAAGCCCTCCAGTCTCCTGTTCTAGCCAGTTTGTCGAAACAGAACAGTGCTTTCTCCATCTCCCGCCTGCTTCCAGAAGGAAGTCCCACTTCTCTCCCAATTAGAGAGAGCCGATCTTATACTATTAGACAGCACAGAGTCCTTTCTCCTCAGTGCCAGACACTGGAAACTGCTTTTCTCCATTCTGTGCACAGGAAGTGCATCGGCACAGAAAAAAAAAAGAAAAAGAAGCAAAGCTGATGAGGGATACTGCTGTCTTTCACGCTTGTTCATAGTGTATGAAACATGGTGTCGTCATCTCTCTCTCTCTCTCTCTCTCTCTCTCTCTCTCTCTCTCTCTCTCTCTCTCTCTCTCTCTCTCTCTCTAAATATCCATTTCTGTCTTCAATCCCATAACCAATTATAGTGAATTTGTGTGGTTGACTAATTTATAATAATTTTCTTTAAATTGCGTGATGTTTTAATGTATGTGCTGTTATCTGTTTTCCCTCTAAGCTTAAAATGTATCCTCTTTAAGCACTGTTTTTAATAGCAATCAAATGGCCAACGTATGGACCATTGCATTAAATTGCATTGTTGTTTACAGTAGTGTTCCACGACCACTGAATTTTTAAGACTGCGTGTCAACTGTCCAGATTTTAAAAAGGCAAGAACATATCTTATATAAACACCCCATAACAGTTGGGTCGATTGACTCCAGCCTAATTTCAGTATACATGGTCTCCTTAAGAAAAATTAGTCAGCCAACAAGCTACTCGTTTTTGAAAGATGTAGTTTTGCACATCCATATTAACAATCCTAATTCATGTGCAAATGGACTTTAAGTACTCCAACTTCCACCCAATTTTTCTCTTTGCCTGTAAGGGACATTGATAATGGCTGGACATAAAGCAAAAGCCAATTATAAGACATTTCCTTGTGCAATTGCTAGAGATGAGCTGAAGAGCACCCCGTCGGCTTTTTATCTCCAACACACAAAAAAATTGCCCATGAATAAAGTCTACCTCTCTGCACTTACTCACTGCAGCTCTGTGCAAAGTAAAGTGTATTATCACTCGCTAAAAGAAAGTTGGGAGGAGTTCTTGTGTGTGCTGTATGGAATTCCTCTCCTAATATTAGGGTTATTGTTTTTTTTTTTATGTTATGTTAATAACTGTATCATTGTTATTTTTTTTGTTTGTTGAGTTTTTAAAAAAAAAAAAATTATTTAGTTGTCTTTTCAGTTGTATTACATTAGAGTCATTTTTATTTAATTCAAGGCAGTGTCTGAGTGATTTATGAAAATGTATTGTTTTCCCCCCAGAAATTAAGGTGTACCATGTAACTTTTGTCCCTCTAGCATTAAAAAAATATATGGTTCTTTGTCATAACTAAAAAGAGATTATCCTACTGCTCATGAAAGATTCACCACTTGGCTTAATAGATATAACCAGTTTAGATGGAAAGATCTCAAGCTGAAGATGTTACTGTAGCTATATCCATCAATAGACATGGTACTTCCTTCAAAATAAATTACTACACAGCGCTACAACCCATAATGAAATGACCTTTCACAATAGACAATGCTTTACAGAGAACTACACATGGGAATTTATCTGTTCAATAAAATACTTAAAATATAAAAAGTTAAAATAGGCTTAACCATTGTGAATCAGGGTAAGACAAAAACACGTCTTGAAAGAAGGTCTTATGATGCATTGATTCCTTATTTCAATTTTGTTCATTTTGAACAAAAAAGTTACGTAATTTACCTCTCACAAAAACGTTTTTTTTTTTTTTCTTTAAAAATACTAACACTGCCTAACAATAGCGAGTACTGTAGCACCCCATGTCAGGTGGTCTGTAATACCTTGAGAAAACTATTCATTGCTTGGCTTATTTTGAGTGGCTGTCAAAGAAGAAAGATGTTTTTAGAACCAGCCGTAGGTGTAGAATCTATCTGGGTGTAAACGGGGCCATGCTAAAGCAATCCTTATGAACACAAGTAAGAAACTGCTTGTTGAGCACTTTAGTGGTGTCTTTTAAACGTTTTGCTGAGTTTAGGTTTCAAAGAGATCTGTTCAGTCATTTTCAACAGTGTATTTATAGAGAAATAGGATGGTTTGATGAATATTGTTGTTTATCAGCATGTGGTGGTTTTCATTTGGATGTTTTTGAAAGAGAAGCCGTAGCAGAAAGAGAGAGAGATGACAGCAGGGCTTTGACTGAAAGGTAAAAAAAAAAAAAAAAATCCGGTAGTCAAGGCAGAGTGAATGTCGAGGTTCAAGGGTTACGGGTTAAGCGATTTTCTTGCAGTATGTCATTTGCTCCTCCTCCTTCCCGGTGGAAGCCAGGAGCTCTGAGGCGCCAGGCTACAGGAACTGACTCAGCCTGTGGGCAGGCCAGGCTGAAGAGACAAGGGAGGCAGAGGTCAATGGGCCTTAGAGAGTGTAATAGCTAAGCAGTATGCCATGCATGTATGGAGGCGTAGCCCGGGGCTCTGGACACATACGTATACACAAGCACACACACCTGATCACGTACA